TATAAAGAAGTTTGACCTATAGGCAATAAATTTATTAATTAGAGGAAATATTTCAAATTAATAAAGGAATGAAATATCATTCCCTAGGTTGCATTTAGAGAAATAATTTTTTGACGATGAGTGAGTCAGTATATGAAAGTCATAAAATTTATAAATATCTAGCATATATACAATAAAGACACACTATACTGACCTGACTGCAGGTTAAAAAAAAAAAAAAAGTATAAAGAAGTTATATATTATATCATATACCAATATAAAAAAATTTACTAAAAAAATGTGAAAAGTAATAATTTTAAATTCAAAGACTATATTAGAAAAAACAATTTAAAATATAATCTATATTAATCAAGACTCTTTTATAATATCTTTCCAAAATAACAAAGAAAATTATATAGATATAGAAACTTAAAAAGAAACTATTATTAGAGAAAATATAAAAGAAGAAACATATCAAGATATTTAATAAATATACTTTGGTACAATCTTGAATTCAAAAAAAAAACCAATCTTCTATTTAAATAGATTACTCATTAATTATTAAAAGAAAAAAAAAGAGAATGAAAATAATATAAATCTAGATAAGAATAGAAGATAGAGAAAACAAGTTTCAAATGAAAATAAATAATTGGTTTCTATTTACAAGAATAATATTGATAACAATTGTAACTATATTCCTAGTAGTTTCAATCCATAATACTATTGATATTTATATAGATAATTAGACTTATATAGTATATTCAAATAAAAAATAATTAAAAAAGAGATCCAAAAAAAATGTATAAAAGATAGCTAATACAGAAAATCTAATTTTTTTGCATATGAATAATTAAATTAATTCAAAAAAAAATATAAATTTTAAGTTTATTAAAGTTAAAATATATATTTATAATAAAAAAACAGATATTTTAATTAAAGAAATCCTAAAACTTTTACTAATTAAATAAAACAATCTTATCTCATATAAGATTATTATTATTTTTTTTATTTTTAAAACTACAATCATGTCATAATAGCTTGTCTTTATTAAGAAATTAAAGTAAATCTATAATGATTTATAGACTTTTACAAAATTAACTTATTTTAATATATAAATAATAATGGATTCCTAAAGTATTTAGCATATAAAATTTTACAGATCACTTATATCCTTTTTTGAAGGACAAAATTCATAGCTCTTTATTTTAATAGGAAAAAAAATCAAAAAATGTTATAAATCAATAATTTGAATATTAAAGAACAATTGTGTGTAGTTTTTTTATAGTTATTAATTTAAAAATTTTAATGTTTTCTAGTTAGGAATGTTTGCCTTTTATTCCTGTTTCCCTCTTTAGGAACTCATCTTTATATATAAGTACTCTAAGTCAGATTTTAGGGACAATATTACACTTCCCTGATAAATTAATAATAATCTCTATCTATCAAGATAATTGTCAATAGTTCAAAAATAAAAACAATCTCTTCTTAAAAGAGATCTGTCTAATTGTAATAGTCTTCTTGCTTCACTTGAACCTCAAAAAAAATCTTTTTTTTTATACCTGTGGCATCAGATAAATCAGTTCAAATGATCTTTCATTTAAGTAAGCACTAGATTGGGATATCTCAAGAAAAGTATTTAGACTTCAACATTTTTTTATTAAAGCTTTATTATCACTTGAGGAACTTAGGTAAGAGACAAGAGTTTGCAATTCATATTATCTATTACTTGGTTTTTTGATATCATAGAAGTTTTCATTAAAGAACTTAGGCTTTTAAAAGCAAATATTTTTGGAACCTTCTTTTCAATTATCAATAATATCATCAGAACACATGAATATGATTAATAAAAGCTTTTTTACATTACAAAAACTAACATATTTCATATTAATCAATTATTCTTGATAAGAATTTATGTTATCTAAAATTCAGAATTAAACTGAGGTAGACAAAATTTCTTAGAAAACCATAAAAGTGGAAGTTTTAAAAGAGCCAAAACAATAAAAAAGGAAGAAAATAAGTCTTTTTACTATAAAAAATCTCTATAAACCTTTCACTTCAAAGATTAAATAGACCTTCAGATATTATCAGTTCTTTTTTCTTTGGGAACTTTCTTATTATTGATATCAAAGATGTTACTTAATTTTTCTTGATCACCAGGAATTAAGTAAGTTTTTAAGTGAAAAGATTTGTAAACAAAAGAAAAAGGATAGAGGTAATTCTTGAAGTTATATTTCAAGTTGGTTTAAGAAAAGTATTAAGACTTTATTAGTAATGAAATATAAAAACTTCTTGTAAATATTTTTTTTGTGTATGGTCAAAGGATCAGTGGAAAGAGTTTTTCTTATATAAATTATTATTAAAAAAAATCAATAAAATATAATTATAGATAATTCAATTAGAAAAATTATCAAGAACTTTAATAATAAAATAATAGTCTATTTAGATATAATAAAACAAAATAAATAGAAAATAATAATAATAAATTTCAGATCAACAAATTCATATATAAAATCTGATATAAAAAAAATAAAAGATAGATATATGAAACATATATTTAAAATAATTACAACAAAAGATTTCTTATCAAATTGATCAATAATAACTAACAATTTTAAGCAAACTGACTATTAAAAATTCAATCTATAGAAACAAGTAAAATATATTACATATAGTTATCAAGATAAAATAATAAAACATATATTAGTATATATATATATATATTTTTTTTTAAAGTGCATAGGTCTACTTTATTAATTATTAATATAGTATATATTACTTGAATTAATAAACTGTTTATTAACTCTTTTTCTTTATGTATCCTCTATATTATTCTATTAAAAAGCTAATTGATTTCAAAAAATCCCTTATGGTTTGTTGCTCCTATGGGGAACTAATATACTTAGGCTCCATTGGCACAGATATTAAAAATGTGAAAAATGTTGTATTTTCTTTTGAGTATATTGCCTATTGTACACAGCATATCAGCTAGTTGAGATTTGTTTATTATAATATGGTAGCCTTTTGCAAGCATATTTTTTATATTTTCTTTATAAATTTATATGAGAAGTGCTCAATTATTCCAATTCCTTTTAATATTTTTAGTTGGTAGGTTTACGAAAGCATATTTTTGAATATTTTTTCCATGTATATCTATTGGCAACGTATACTTACGTGACGCTTTGGATTCTCAATTTAACCAAATGGAAGAATATATGTTAAATATTGTTTCAGAGGATTCATATACGTTTGCTGTAGACAAAATATCTGCCATTATACCTCTTCTCGGGACTACCAATGTCGTAATTGTTCAAGATATTATGTATCGGGCGAATACTGCAAAGCACAACAAAGAAATATGCAAAGATATTTGTGCTCGCGTAAGAAAGAGCATAGAAATTCTTTCGGAAGTGAAATTCTCTTCACAAATTAATATTGAAGGACCACGAATGACATATGAAAAAGCTTTAAATAACATAAGCCAATATTTGATTGAAATCGATAAGCCCGGGAAGTTTAACGCTAAAACGATCAAGTGGCTCAAAGAATTGGCGGGGGAAGAAAACGTAAAATTATTCATTAATTGTTCGCTTTTTTTATTGCTAAAAATATTTATTTTTAATTAACTTATTCAGATTGCCACTGTGAATGAGAAATTGATCCAAAATTTAACTGATGCCACAACAGAATTTTATAATTATGCGATGCCTCACATTAATCATAAAATTAGTGGCATACCTGATAAAATCACAGAAATACAAAATAATTTGAAAGACATGTCTGTTGATTTAAAGGCTTTAATAGAAATCATGCTTCTTCAAAAGGGAGACGATGACGATTTGACGAATGATACTATTGAGAAATTGAAAATCAATGAATATTTTTTCGATGATGAGGAGAAGGAAATTGTTAGAAATAATATCAGAAGACGTACCTATATCGGGAAGGAAGTTGCAGTGAAGAAAATAATAGATTTTGATTCTGTAAAAAAGATAATTGCCAAACAGGCAAGAATTCATGATGCACTCGGGGTCTGCGATTACATTGAAAAATTTTAAGTAGAACTCTATTCTCGATCTGATTAGCCGCTTGATTTTGCATAATTAACTAACCAGCTTGATTCTTCAATTATAGTTATGGTATTTGTTTTCAAGGTACAAATAAAACTGATATTGGATTTTATGTTACCGAATGGATGGATAATGGGAGCCTCCAGGAGTATCTACGTAAAAATTTGTCAATTCCGTGGGATACTAAAATTAAAATAGCAGCAAAAATTGCAAGAGCTCTTTTATTTTGCAAACATGCCAATTTTTATCATCGAGACGTCAGGAGGTGCATAAACCCATGCCGTTTTATCACTTTAATATATATTCTATGCTAACAAGTACTTTCGGCTTTAGCAAAAATGTATTGGTCAGTGGAAAATTAGATGCAAAACTAACTAATTTCGAATATAGTCGAAAGTTTAGTGGAGCAACTAGCAAATTGCCAACTGAGGCTATAAGGTTTTATCTTTTTAAATGATAAAACTCGATTTTTTATGAGGTTTAATTTACTGAAGTTTTTCAAAATTTTAGGTGGACTGCGCCAGAAAAGGTTAGATTCCCAAAATTACCCTACACAGATAAATGCGAAGTATACAGGTACATCAGAACGTGAATAAATATACTGCACCCGAAATTGCTTAATAATATTTAATAATACGTATATAGTTTCGCGATCCTTTTATGGGAAATTTCATCACACAAAAATCCATTTCATGACGTTGAAAATGATATGCAAGTCAGAGAAGAAATTTTCAGGAGGCAAAGACCCTCCCCATTCGCAGAAGGTACACCGAAAAAGTATATAGAAATAGTCGAGTCAGCATGGGCCAATGATTTTAATTGCCGTCCATCAATCGATGAGATATCGCAAAAACTTTATGAGAAAAAATGAAAATGAACCAAGATCACCAGACCAAAGTGATTTAGAAGCGATATCTTCCATTGCGTCCACAGAAGTTCCCGTTGCACGGACCAAGAACACTAATACGCTAATTAGACTAAATATTGACGAAGCAATATCTCTCCACAATGACAATAGATACAAGGAAGCTTTTCCTCATTTTCTAAGGCTGGCAAACAGAGGCGACTTTAAAGCTGCATATTATGCTGGGCTTTATTTCTACGTAGGCTATGGAATTGATAAAGATGAAATCAAAGCTTTATTATATCTTGAAAAATCTGCTCAATGTGATTATGCACGTGGTCAATACCTGTATGCACATGCTTGTCTCAAAGGAACTTATTATTCTAAGGATGAAGGAATAAAGTATCTCAAAAAAGCCGCATTAGAAAACGATCCCGATGCTCTTTACATGTTTTCTCAATTATATCTTCTGGGAGAACATGGTTATCCTGAGAATAATGAAAAATATAATTATTATTTAAAAATGGCGGCGGAAAATGGGTCTAAGGAGGCTCAACAAGAACTTGGTTTTGCAGAATATCCCAATTAATATTAACAATATTACGGATAACCTACAATCTAGCCTGGCTGTGGTACTCAAAAAAATATTTATTATACTTTATACAGTATAAACTATTTAAACTTTACTCCTCAAAGTTGTGATACTTTTCTTATTTGCTATTATTTCCTTTTAATTATAAACGTGAAATACGTAACTTTATTATAACTAGAAATAAATCACTTATCTTTATACATAATTATTGTAAACTAAATTACAATAAAAACTTGAGTTATATCTTTAAAAAAATTATGAAAGAAACTTTCACACTCTTGAATCAAAACCATAATCTCATTCAAAAATATAGTCCCAAAGTATTTTTCAATTTCCTTATTTTTTAAAGCAAACCCAGTGAGATACTCGCAAATCAATAATATTCTTACATACAATTATGAAAAATAAATTTTTCAAGAGACCAAATAATATATTCTTATATAATTAAAATTATATTTTATTCATTGATAATAATAAAAATCACTATTAAATATATAAATCAATTATCACATTAACACATTATTTATTATCATAATCAAGACATCAATTTTTTTCAATTTATTATTATTACAAAATCCTATTTATATAATTTATATAAAATTAAATCTATTTTTTTATTCATCTCTCAAATTTGCTTTTCAAGGACCTCAATCGATGATTTTTTCATAAAATCTTTAAAGATTTCATTCTCTCACCTCATTTCTATAAACTTTATCTTTTTTCTTTTCATCTCTATCACATCATGTTCTTGTTTTTCTTTTATTATTTTTACATATTCCTTAATTCAATCAACAATTCAATAATGAAAATATACACAAATCTGATTCTTGATAGGAGAATATTCCAATTTATATTGTGCATACTCACTCAATTAAACATTTGAAACAAAAAATCTCATAAATATCTCAGGTTTCTTCAAAATAGTATTCAAAAATTCATGTATATCTTTAACAAAATTCTGATTTTCTGGATTTATCCTAAAATATTTGAGTTATAAACTAAGTACACATTGAATCAACATAATATCTATATAAGGTGATTATGTAGTTAACATTGCATGAAATGTTATATCTTGTGAACTGAAGTCTCTAATAAACTGTCACAAGTCTATTATCATACTTATTATAATATAATTTATATATTAGATTATCAAATAGTTATTACAAAAAAAAAAACTTTTTTTTACTCATATCCAAATTTTTAAAAATTTCTTTTTATAGAAATAATCCAAAGTTCACAAGAAAAAAATCTATGCTTGCAAAGAGTTACAACAACAAAAATGGCATCAAGACTAAGAAAAAAGAATACTATAGTTAACTATACTAGAGAAAGAATCATTAGAGGCAGTAGCAAGATCTCTAATCCACTCCTAAAAACAAAACTCATAAACAAATTCAACTCTATATTACCTATCAAGAAATCAACAGTCCCCCAGAACAACTCAACAACTCTAACAAATCAGAAGAATGCCAAGACAATCTGAAACAGCAATAAACAATAGACCTCAAAGACATGATAGCAAGCAAGTCAACAGAACAGAAGACAGATATCACAAAAGAAGTTTTCAAAGAGAAAGAAGCAATGGAAACCTCCAGACTAACCTTCCCAATTATGATTACTTTGATAGTACTTGAATATTAAAGTGGAAAAGATTTCAACAACAATGGCTTCAATAACTTTACTACAAATAATTATACTTATAACAAAAGGTGTAAATATCTATGCAATAATAAAAAAGAAAGTATAAACAAGACAAGACAAGACATGCTTCAACTAGGCAAGGTTTTATTAAGTCTAAAAGAACTACCTGAAAACTCACTTCAAGAAAAACTCTAGTACATCTGAAATGTTTAGGAATATCTGAAATCCCTGAAACATGTACGTATAGAGGAGCCTGCAGGAGCACTAAAAATTGTAGCCATCTTTGACAACTACTATGAGGCTCTAGCTGCATATGAGATCAAGATCACTAATAATGAAATTACCAAATCAAGATTAGCTTCTTTAATCAATACCATAGAAGAAAAGAACCATTCTATCAAGATATTGAACATCCCATTATTTATACAAAAAAAGACATCACCAGTTTATTCAATGATGAATTGATAATAAAATACATTGTACTACAAATAGCAGGAACTGTTAAATCTGGAACAGTTCAATTTAACTCAACAGAAGCATATGAAGAACAAGTCCTGAATGGGCTCTATATAAGGATAACTACTGTATATGTGTATTTTCTATAGTTAGAACCCATATCATAAAGAAAAAAAGAAATTAGTATATCACTACACTAGCCAATCTTTCACAAGAAACCTCTATTAAAGAAATTCAAGGAATAATAAATCAATAAATGCTCAGGTATGCCACTTCCTCTTGAATCATCTCAACCAGAACAAACTGTTTGTAATTCTATACTTTAAGGACGCACAAGACCTGAACAAAGCAAGTAGCACTACCTTTCAAATCAAAAACATGAAACTGGTTTGGATATCAAGATTAATAAGGCTTTTTGCCAACTGTGGAGTATACGAGCATGACACCAGCTCATATATTATGATCAAACAAACTTCAACACAAAAGAATAGAATAAATAGACTCAGACAATCCAGATAAGTAACATGTCAGCAACAAGAACCCCACTCCCAGGTGGGGATGGTGATTTACTATTATAAATGCAAACAACTCAGGATGCACATATGCCAGTGTCACCAAAGAAATTACCCACGTATTAGCACAGATAGAAAAATCCTTAGACAACTGCAAACAGATATGAATGCCATTAAATACCAAGTTTATATGCTTGATAAAAGAGTAATAGCAATCAAAGCAAATCCCAATGTCAAAGCAAATGAATTAGTCATTATTGACACTCCTACAGACATCAGATCACTATCTACAAGCACAGACTTCAGGACTCTATCACCAAGGAGAATTGATATTAGACAATAACAAGAAGCAATAAACAGAAGAATAAACCAGATGGAATTTATAATTAAGTCTACTATAAAAGAGATATGGATTGTCTCAACTTATTAATCAATACAATAGAAGCATTAGAACCATTCCCTCAAGCACTCCAAAACAATTATAATTAAAGAACAAGAAATAGAAAATGTCACAATAAGGCAATTATCCATAGAAAAAAAAATAAATACAAAACAGAGAACTTGAAAGATAGGAACAATTAATGTCAGAGAAATTAACATAGAAATTGATAAACTAGCACTATTAGAATATTGTCAAGAAAACCAAATAGACATTTTGGGACTCACAAAGACCTGGTTACCAGAAAAACCAAAATGGCATGATGGAGAGAGAAAGTATCAAATTTGGTTAATCAAACCAACCCCAACAAATACATGGAACAGAAGTTAGTATATTGATAGAATAAAAATGGAAAACTTTTTTACAATACAGAGAAATGTATTAATCATGGCTTATTAATCGATATAACCTTCATTGGGAAAATTAAATACAGAATTATAACATTATATAACTTGGTAAATAAAACAAAGAAATCAGAAAGAGCAGATTACAATAGTGGATCAAAAGCAAGATCGGTAAAGTCAAAAGTAGAAATATGATAATTATAGTAATAAGTGACCTTAATGAAATAGTAGACATGCATCTAGACAAAACAACTGAGAGAAACAATAGAAATAAACCAAGACACATCATCTATATATTGGAAGCATTTGACTTAATAGATACATTCGACAAGTTTATCAATACAAAAGAAGCTACACATATCACAGACCTAAGACAAATTATGTGAGCAGATGGGACAACATCTAGATGACGAATTCTTTACTCCCTCATATTATCAGTGAGAACACAGTTCACTGTAAACAGTAATCAGGAGTGACCATAAGCTAGTAGTACTTCAGCTCAGTATATCACATACTTCATGGATCAAACTAACAAATAAAAAAAATAGCAAGCAAAACAAAATAGACTGCACAAACTTTAGCCCAAAACAGTGAAACAAGTTAAAAGAAAAAGTGGACAGGAATGCAAAAAGATTTCTAAACACAAATCTAGAATTGATAGAGGAAATCTGATAATACTTTAAGAAATCAATTATGGCTGTAGCAAAAGCAACACTTAAAAAAGACATTATAGCAGGAATATCACAATGATCCACAAGTCCAAATACAAGAATCTTATGTGAAAACAACTCAAGATTGACAGTATATATAGGAAATATCAAGCATGGCTAATAAACCCTGATGCCAGAATACAAACAATGAATATGATAATAGAGGAGAAGATTGAAATAGTTATCACACCAACCAGGATATTAACTACTCCTCCCCTCTTTCAAAAGGAGTCAAAGCAGGATAGAGAAAAATTATACAAGTGGCTAACTGAGGCCAAGAAAATATAGGAGACAGAGTAGAAATAACTAGGATCAAGATCAAATAAGAGAAAGGGAGGAAAATCACTAAACACATCATGAGTAGGTACAAGCATCTGAAAGAATATCTCAAAAAGATGATAGATAGTATTCTTGATCACCAACCAAGAACAATTAACACCTTGAAATTGGTGAAAAGAAAAGAAAATGATGAAAAAATAATAATAATAGATCCAGAGACTATAAAATATAAGATTAAAAAATACTTTGAAGAATGGATAAAACCAAGACAAACAACTAACATTGAAAACTTTCCATACTGGAAACAACAGTATGAGCCCAAAATAAACATTAAGGGTGACTGGTTCAACAACACACTACAACTAATTGACATGTCAGACATACAAAATGCAATACATAAAGCAAAGAAAACCAGTATACCTAGACCATTAAAAATCCATTATATCATGCTGAAGAATCTAGAAAAGGCTAGACTACAGTTGCTAGAGACATTGTTCAACAAAGTGGTAAAGACAGGGGAGGTCCCCAATGACTGAAAGAAAGATAACATATATTCCATACCCAAACTCAAAGACTGGATAGGAGATATCAAT